ATTTTAAAAAATGAAAAATTCATGAAACGTTTAGTTTAGCTTTAATTCCAAGCTAATAGATTAATATTTCCAATAAACAAACTACTTCATATTTCAAACAGAATTTTAATTGAGTTTAAATAATTTGAGAAAAAAAATAAGAAAAAAGCACAGCATAATGAAAGATGCCAAACTGGAAGAAAACTATTTTATCATCTAAACGTTTGTTATTAAGAGGAAAAAATTAAATCTTATTTTAAAAAATTTTTCCTTTTTAAAACATTCTAACTGTTGATTAAAAACAACCTTGTTTCTCTTTGTATCAGCAGAACTACTAAATAAAATTAGTTTTTTGTATGACAGACATTAATTTGGAAAATCTTGCAAAAATAAAAAATTGTCAGATGTTAATGAAACTTTCGGTAACTATTCACAAATGAAAATTTGTTTCTTTTTTTTAAAGTCATGGCAAAATTTTTTTATATTCATTACCACCTCCTTGCCCATAACTAGTTTTATTAAAACTCTAGAAATTCAATATGGGTTAGTTTAGTGATTATATCAGTTAAAAGCACAAGGCTTTCTTTGAAGAAAGCAAAGAATTTTTTTTCTTTTTTTTAAAAATCAGACCCCCCCACCTGAAAATCAGCACTGAATTGCAACATACAAAACACATTTAATTTCAAATGCATAGATAATATTGTCTGAAAGCAAGAAACTTTTTCAATGAAAAATGAAAATTTAAAACTTTATTATTAAATTATTTTTACATTAAAGTTGTTAATATAAAATTTAGTGAAAACTTCAGTATAACAATCAGAAGAGCCACATTGTATAAAAAAACAAATTTCAGATGGATTTTGTGTACATAAAACAACTAATTCAAATGTATGGCAGATCAGTAAGAATAAAATAAGTAATGTTATTTGAGTTAAGCATTGTTCTCCGCTGTCATGGCCTTTAATTTTGTGAATTGTTTATGCGAAACAAGTGTGGAGAAGTTAATTTGATTTTTCAATTTCAACTGAGAAGGGTACCTACAAGTATTAGGTATCATATGAAATATGATCTTATTTTTATATTATCTCAGTTATGACATTTTTCCATAAATGAAGTTAAAATTAATTGAATGGAAATAAATAACAGTAAAATGCAATAAATGTACATAAAATTATAGTATTTTATGTACACTTCTGATAAAATTTCATGAGAAAGCTACCTATAAATTAGATACCTCTCTGATGAAATTTAATCTTATTTCAATTTTTTTTTTTTTTTATTACAAAAAAAAAAAAAATATTAAGACTTTCAATAAAGCATCATAAGTGTGGTGAAAGACAAGTACAAAGAAAAAGTGCAGAAAGTTTTCCTTAAAAATAACGAGGTAAATAAGTTGGTTCACTTAAAACTAAATTATATCACTTCTGTCCTTTCATACGGTAACTTTCCTTTACGTAAGTTGTCAATATGTGATGAAATCAATAGTCACTCAAGTGACCAAATGGTAAGACCTGCTTTGTCTTATTTTTAAACTACATTTTTTCATCACAGAAAGTAATGTTCGTTTCCCAAAAATAAAAAATAAACTTTATAATTTATAATTTTCTTAAAATAAATTTTGAAAAAATTATAATTGATTTTTAAAAGAATTTGAAACAGATTCATTTTTTTTATAAATGGAAAAAATGGTTGACAAATTTTCTCTCTCAAAAAAAAAAAAAAAAAAAAAAAATTTAACGAAAATTTCAGATGTACTAGGAACAATTAAAAAATGTAAAAAAATAACCCAATACTTTGAGCTTTCCTCTTAAACATTTAGACAAATTATTTTCATCCAGTTTTAGGTCCTTTTTTTATTCAAGCTATGCTCTTTTTTAGTGCCCTCACGGAGGTACCTAAGTAAAATCATCCATATCGACAAATTTGCTCTTATTGTCTGACAATGTGGACTTCCATAGTTACAAAAAAAAATTCAAAATTCTTTTTCAAGTCCTAGAATGGGGGTCACTGAATCATAGTAAGATTTTCCACTTATGTTTAAGTAAATACATTTTTAGTTTAATAATATAACCGCTACAAATTAATCATCATCCCCTTGACATGTAATTGTACGGGAATTAGTTGCGGTGGGGGGGGGGGTCCGAATGCAGAAGTTATTGAATCTCCTCCACAACAGTCTATCAATGGCAGCCATCAGCAATTCTGGTATATAGCCATACTTGTACTTGTCCATTGTTTGACATTGGACAACCAGTTTTTACGTCCACCTTCAACGGTGCCTTACATGATGCTCTTGCACAGACTGTGTAGTGCCTTGTAATGGGTCCAAGCCACGCCATTTTTCTCCATTTGACAGTGGCGAAAAGAGGTTCCTTGTGGCCCACAATACTTTCACCCCCCCTTTTTTTTTGCACAAAGTCATTGATTTTTTTATATTCCCAAGATCGGGATTTTTCTCGTGCATTTGTTTTCAAACGCTTGGATCCTTCTGTTTTTGCCAATAGTGTCCACGTTTCACATCCATAGAGGAGAATGGAGACTACCAGCGTTTTTTGTAGTCTACTTCATTTGGTTTTGCTCTTCCATTGCCAATTCTTGCCATCGCCGCGGCAATCCGTACAAATAGTTTTTACAAATTTAAATGTTCATATTAAATGAAAACAATTGTATAAATTCCTTATTCACTGAAAAAGTTTTAAAAACCTTAGGTATCAAAAATTCATTGGAGGTAGGTACAGTGTTCATAATATTTTATTCAAAGTTTACCAATTGCATACATCCGATCAAAATATCGCGAGAAAAAAAAAGTAAAAAGTTTCACACTAAGCTGCACAAATAGTTGAATAAAGAAATTGAAATAAAAGTTCATCATTGTGTGTTTAATTACGGTTTAAGGTTTTTATTTCATAACGCTCGCCGAAAAAGTGGTTAAATTTTGAAACTTTTTTTTGTCCTGGTACAAATGCAACTTTCTTTTAATTTCAAAGAAAATGTATAATTTATGCACTAAAGCATTTTTGTGGGTTTGTAATGTGAGAAACGTGTCGCACAAAGAAAGACGAATTTAAAGGTTTTTTTTTTTTTTTTAATTCGGATCTTTTCTGTTAGAGTTAATTAACCCCAAAATTTAAAAAAAAAGTATATTTACTAAAATTCTCACAGCGTGGCCTTTCCATTAAACTCTGGTTCGGTTGACCTTTGCGATCGCCCAAATGTTGGCAATTCTGGTGCGCTATTTCGTTTCGAAGTGTGCGCTCACTCCGATAAACAAGCTAAAAAAAACATGTTTTTTTAATATTGTTAAAAAAAAAAAAAATTCCGTCTGCACTTACAAAATGTGAATAACTTCCTGATTTTTGGTAATTTTTTAAAACTTTTTTATTTTTTTTTCTTGAAGTTGTTGCGATGCAAGCTAAACAAATTTTGATTTAAAATTTTGGGTGAATTAATATTTGTGATGTATTTTTCATGGACGAGTTCTTGCGTGAAGAAAGAAGAAATGTATATGAAAATAAATAAAAATAAAATGCTCTCCTTGGAAGTGGACAGTGCTTTTTTTTTGTTTGTTTTTTTTTGTTTTGTTTTTTTTGAGTACTAAGCAACGGCACACCTAGGAGCAAAAATGAAAACATCACGGCATAGTTCGCAAAATTTTTAAAGGGTACACGGGCCCAGTCAGCTTTTTTAGCGTCTAACCTTTAATGAGTTAGAAAAAAGCCATTTTGACAGGTTTACATTTCATGCTTTAATTATTTAAGGTATGCCTATTAGCTTAAGACAAGAAAAAGAAAAAACTTGCAAGTTTTTTTGTTTTTTTTTAAACTTTGACCACCAGACTGAAATTGTCTTCGTTAGTAAACACGTGGTACAGCAAATCGTTTTGAAGCACCATTTTGGGCGGGAAAAGAATTGTAGTTCGAAACGAGATGGGCACGGGAAGGTGGGGGATGCTCGGCGTTTTTTTTGTGTTCATTCTTGTTGCTTGAAAAACGAGTTGTTTCCCCCTTTCGCCATTTGACAAAAATAAGCACTAAATGAAAACATCGTACGCATAAAGACTAAGGAAGGAGATATAAACTAAAAAAGCGTTTAGACACGGAAGATGGGGTAAGATATGAAATATAATTATATTGTAATCAATTTAAAAATTCATTAAACTGAGTCCGTTTTTTGTTTTTTTAAAGAGTTGTCTCTTCCCCGAAAGTGCTACAGAGAAAGAGAGGACTATAAAAAGATTTAAGTCAAAAAACATTTTTTTGTATTATTAACGAAAGCAAATATGTGTTCATAATGGTAATGGACAGTTTAGATTTGGTTTTAAGTTGGGATACTGTTTAAAAATTAAAGCTTGACTAGTGTGTTTGTAAAGAGAGAAATGGGTGAGTTAAAGGAACGGGGTGCTTCAGTCTGAGGGCAAAAAAAAGAAAAAAAAATATTTATTCAACAAGTTTATTTTAAAAATAAATAGTCGAAAAAAGTCCAACCTGTATTCTTTGCTATGCTTCAGTTTTTGGTAGAGTTAGTTTCAAAAGTAAAAAAAAAAAAAGTATATAAAATTTATAGTGTGTAACTTAAATATTTTTTATTATAACGCTTTGAAATTAAGAAAATCATGTTTAAGAAGAAACTGTACAATATTGGACTTTCATTAGTAACGAGAAACAAAATCTATTTCTTGTTACCTTTTTTTATGCTCTTTAAATATTTGCATAAAGACGAACACAAAATCAGATTTTTTTTTTTTGCATTAAACGAAACCTTTAGGCTTTTTAGAACTGTAACTTGTTCGTTTCTACTTTTTAAAACTTGATTTTTTTTCTTCCAAAATGAATAATGTTCCTAAGAAGAAATGAATAGCATTTTTAAACAAAGTAAAGTAAACTCCATCAGAAAAATACATTTTGCTACGAAAATACGCAACTTTGTTTAAGTGATTCTTCGAGATATCTGTGAAGAACGAAGAAAAACAAAAACCACCCCCGCTTCCTCCGCGCGAATAATAAACACCCACATCCACTTACCTTGAGAAGAAAAATGGAATTAACCACTTGTCTGAGATTTTTTTTTATAAGCTTTGTCCTCCTCCTCCTACTACTACTATCTGATGACGTCACTTAACCATCCCGGTTCCAATTCATCTTTTTTTTTTTTTTTTCTAAAAATACATGTACCTGTAAGTTACAGGCTATAACTATTACATAACTTAAAGTTTTTTTTTTTTTTAATTATTATTATTTAATTTTTGACACTTGCTTAATGTCATTTATGGAGAAGATTGGTATATTTTTTCTGGAAGAAGAGAAAAAAAAAATATCAAATTGAAACAATTCTCTAACAAGAAACATTCAGTATTCACTGACTGAACTGTTAGCATTATTACCATCAGTTGAAATTTATAAAAATCTTTCTCCTAAAACAGTTTTTCAAGAAATTAAACTTTGCATGTTCACTGTTAGCACTTTTTCTTGTATTGATGGGGGTTTCCTTCCTAGCCTTCTCTTTAAAGTAGTGTGGAAAGTCAGCATCTTTCTTAATTATATGTGGTTTGAAAGCTTAAAAGAAAAAAAGAAGCCGAGTGTCGGTGTATCAGCGTGAAGTAAATGAATCTTGGTAATTCGAATCTACTCCCAGGATCTCTCTCTTATCTTTTCTTATTCTCAAATCTCCTTCTCCCTCTGCATCTCTTACAACCTTTCTTGTACGTTCTATTTTTCTTCTCTGGCTAATATTTTGCTTCATCAAGTTCTCCAAAACCAAAAAATCAAACTCCTATTTTTGACTTTTATAGTTTCTGTCTTCCATCTCATAAGTCATCTTTTTCCCTGATTTGCCGTAATGTCTCTCTATAAAAGAAATCACCTGTCGCCACTTCTTCTTCCCTACCATGAGGTAAGCAACATTCCATTTTTTCTTCTTCTTTTCATTCAAACTACATTATATTATTATTTTCTTTTCTAATTACATGTGCTAGCCATTTTTGTTGTTGTTGTTGTTGGAAGTTTTCAATTGATGTGGTATCTCTTATTTGGTAAAGCTCTTTGTAATTCTGTTGTGCCAGTCTAAAGGATCTGATGAAGGATTGTTGTCTATAAGGCAGAAAGAATTCATTCAGTTCTAGACATCTTCAATCATTAATCTCAGATGGTGAGGGCTTTTATATATGACAAGGCCACTATATAGGAATACGTCTTTGTAAATTACTGGTCTAAAACAACTCGCAAGATAAGTCACCCTCTAGTAGCATTCAACTAATGTGAGCATGCTCTGAACCAATATCAAATTTAGAGATGTTTTTAAAGACCTGTAGAACTGCTGCACCAAAACCTGTGGATGATCAGCTATTGTTATTCTTCTGTCTCTGCTACAATTGAATAAGTTGACTGAATTACAGAAACAAATGATGATTGATAAAACATGAAAAGATGTAATCGATCCGTTCTTGCCATTGTCTAAAGTGTTCTGTCTGTCATTAGCAGAGATTCCAACTGGATGTTAGAACATTTGGTACATGTGACTCGAGGGAACAGCGGTATGGTTCTACAGAAGGATGCTAAGGAAATTCATGGACCAAGCATGTGAGGAATGATGCAGTTTTGGAGAGGATGCAAACAAGGAAGCTTATACTTAACATCAGGAACAAGCAGCTGAAATTTCTGGGACATATAATGAGGAAGGAGGGCTTGGAGAACCTGATACTCACAGGTTGAATATAGGGAAAGAGAGACAAGGGAAAGCAATGCATGACATACCTGGCAGGCTTAAGCAAGTGGATGACAGAGCATGACCCTGTGGGGAAGTAACAAAGGGACAAAACTTATTGATAGCTACAAGGGATAGGGAGAATTGGAGAGCCATGATCACCTACATTCTGAAGGGACATGGCACATAAAAAGAAAAGAACACCTTGGAAATAACCCAATATTATGCGTTTGTCTAAGGGATAGTAGAACATTAGTCTGGAATGATTAACTAGTTAAGGGTTTTAGGCTATGATGTTGGAATGATACACAATGTTTAATTAAAATTCAATAATATTTATTCTAAGAGCAATGAATTTCTTAAAATAAGTAAAACTTCTCACCAGTATTAGCAGAGGTTTAAAAACACACAAAAAACTTAAGCGTTTCTCTTTAAACTGGTGAATGAAACCCAAGTAAATATGAAGGTTGATGAACTTAAATTTAGATATTTGTGTTATTTATCTCTAAATGTGAAAAACTTTTGAATCTGATTGTAAGAAATAATTTTACTTTAATAAACAAAGCAAGAAAATTATATTTTCTGTCAATTTTTGCTTAAAAACTTAAATGAACTTGTTGTGGGTTTTTCTTGTATTATTTTTGTTTGTATTATTTGAGTAAATATTTAGTCACCATTATGTTGTGATAATCAAATATTTTGTATAATAAATATTTATGGGCACCTGGAAAATTTATTTCACAGACAATATTGGTGGACTCTGTGAGTCAAAATAAAAATGAGTAACACAAAACATTAAACAAATGATGCATATATTAACAAAAAAATTACATGCGACGAAAGGAACAAACATGAAACTAACTATAAATGTGCATGTTTGTGTGTTTAACAAGCGTGTGTGAGAGAGAGTACAAAAAGTCAAGACAGAAAAACATGAAACTGAACTTGTCCCAGCGGGGACACTTTTTCCCCACGTGAGACTACATCTCTTACATCAACTGTAAAAGAGAATGTTTTTATAGGCTTAAAGAGCATCCCATAGAAATGGTTTTTAGCAAAGTGAAGTTGAATGACCCACAAACCCTTGACAAACAGCATTGATATGTTTTCTGCTTATCATAAACTAATTTGAAAATAAAAAAGTGAATTTTAAGAATAATAAACAAAATTTATTTACATTGCAAAGCATGTAGTTGTAAACGAAAATATTTTGATAGGGATTTTAAAAACATTTTGATTGTAGATACCATAATTTCTCAAAAATAATATTCATTTTTTTACTGTAAATTACAGGTGATAGTGGGGGTGCCTATTATATATATTGACTTATAATAATAAATACGTACTTGTTCTAAAATAAGAAAAATATTTTCCCAATTTTCATTTTAAATTTAACAATAATAATTGTAAGATGTTTTGAACAATAAATTTTTGTTTATCAGTAACCATATTTTTCATTTGGCGGAAAAATAAAAAATCTATAAAAAGGCCAATTTCAAAGAAAAGAGGATATCAAGTTAACAATTTATTGAAATTTTAATTTTCATCATTGTCATCACCACTTTCTATTATAGAATAAATATCTAAATTGTCAATAAACAAATTATTATTCACAATATTATCTTCTTTCTGTTCAAAATTATCTTCGGCCTCTTCATTCTCTTGCCAAAGGATGTCATCTTCAGAGTCATCCATGGCTGTCGTGAGAAAACACTTCTTGAAACCTCTCTTTATAACATCCTCACTGACAGAATCCCAAGATTCCTAAATCCATTTTACAATAAGTAACTAACTCTCTTTTTTTCCTGTTACCATCAGCAGTAAAACTGAGAACATCAGAAAACATCCAGTCATTCCTTTTTTTACGCATCTTGTTTAAATGGATGGTTGCAGACAACATCTATTACTTGAAGTTGGCCAGTCATTCTCCCCTGATAGCAAGATCAGTCCTCCTCTGAAGTATATTCTTCATGCAAGACATCCTATGGCAACGAAATGCATCAAGAACTAATATACATCTACTTGCAAATTCTGTTCTATGTTTACACCAAATATTCAGCAGCTAGTCGTTTGTGAGATTCTCATCCATCCACCCTTTTTCATGACATTTTAATATCATACCGGCTGGGCACTTAACGTTTTTTGGCAGAGTTTTCCATTTAAAAATTACGTATGGGAGCATCTTTTTACCATCACCTCTTCACCAAGCATGACTGTAAACCTATTCTTCTCATTTCCAGTTGTTTTTATTGCAACAGACTTCACCTCTTTCAATTCCAGAGTATGAAAACAAGGCACATCAAAAGTCAAGGGTGTTTGGTCAGCATTTCCAATACAGCCTAAAAAGATAGTTGTGCTGTTTTCTTAAAAAAAATTCAAATAAAAATTCTTTTTTCTTCTTTTTTAACAAAATGTTGAAAATTCAAAAGCTTATCATAGTCATCAGGCAAATGCTGGGTTATGGATGTTCTTCTAATAGATATATCAAACCTTTTCTTAAAAAGAAAACACCAATTTGCTGAACCTTTAAATGTGTTTCCAGGATAAATGGTTTTCATAAGTTCTTTTGCCTTCATCCTTATTTCCACAGTACTTATGGAACATCCACTTGATCATCTTTCTTTCACAAATTCAACTTTTTTTCATATATTGAGATTTTCTTCTACCTATGGCTTTGGCACTTGATTTACACATTTTTTAGTTCATTTTTATTCTTTCTCCATAAACGTTTGTTAGCCTCATTCAACCCATATTCTCTAACTGCAGCTCTGTTTCCTATTCTTTCTGATAATTCTATTACATTTTGTTTAAAATTTACACTATAACTCACATGTTTTGACGACATTTTGGTGGTAAAATAAAATGTTATATTTATCGGGAAAACCGTATGGTAATTTTAAAACATTATTTTAACCAGTCAGTTTAAATTTTCTTAATATCAAGGTTGACAAAATATTTTTATAATTATTTTTATTTTTTTATTTTTTTTTTTTGACAAAATTTATAGATGTGTATTATACATAGGGATAGATATATTTCTTAATTTTTGATCATTTGTTGGGGTGCATATTATTTATGGATGTGTATTATTTTTGAGAAATTACGGTATTTGGAATGTGATAATATTTATATAGAAAATGAATGTATAGCCAAAATATTATTTTTATAAAAATTACAGTAAAAATTTAACTGAATTTAAAAAAAATTAACTAGAATTTTCTTTATATTAATTATTAAGATTAATATTTTTAAACTTTTATCTTTTATTATGTTTTTAAATCTACTTCTGAAACATTTTAATGGGGTCTATCAGGACAAGTTTCTCGAATGAAACTCTCATATGGAGTCCCCTCTCTATTATACGTCAATGTCTGTTTCCCAACCTGTGAGCCACAAACCCTCAAAGGAAAATTCGGGGGAAGGGCAGCACATTTTTAAAATTACCAAAAATCAGGGAATTATCCAATTTAAATGAAAATTTCGGTACATATTCATTAATTATTTACTTTTATAATGAATAGGTTTTTTTTATTTTTTTAAAAATCTGAGAAAATGTTATTCTTTTTCTGATAACCACCAATATTTTCATGACTAAATTTTACTCAACAAAATTTTTTTAAGTCACAAACTTTTACATTTCCATAAAGATTTATTGTCGACACATCACCACTGAAAAAAGTGTTACAAAAATTCCAGCACAACACAAATGGGATTGTTTTAAAAATTTGTTTTAAAATTAGTATTTCAGTTTTTGGGAAAATTTCTCATGTCTTGAAATCTTTAAGCATTTTTATTTTTAAGCATTAATTTTTTCGGTTTTATCTTTCTAGAAATGTAAATAACAGGGACTAAAAATTTTATTTTATTTACTAACTGTGGTCTTCTGGTTAGTATTACTATTATTAAAAAAAAAAAATCAGAGCCTCTCCTTAGTGGGTGATCTTGAAATAGAAAAAGGATTTTATCGAGATATATTCCCCGCCTCTTAATTGATTTTAAAAAAGCTGTTCAGAAAGAAAATTACAATTTAAAAAAATAAGCACTACTGAGATTAGCACTTCTGCACCCCTCTCCTTGGTAGGCATGGGGCTCCTATGCAGTTGAGAGGTTCAGGATAGTGAGCACTGGCCCAGCCGATTATTATAGTTGATGATTGCCAATATAACTTAGCTGGACAAAAGTAAAAGTACAAAAAGCAAAAAAAGGTTGCTGAAACTAGCCCATTTGGAGCTCCAACCATGTCGGACATTCCATGCAGATACACAATTATTAATTGATAACTGACAATGTAATGTCAGTTTAAAAATAATTTAAAAAAAAGGGTGGATGGCCTTAAAATAGTGCTGGAAAAAAATGGCAGAAGCCACAACAAGGCCTAAAAAATGATGGCAGATCAGGAGTAAGACATGCCAGCCCTGGAATTTATATTAGACTACTAAGTACGATTGATTATAACAAAGTTAAAAAAAAATCATTTTGATTTTGGAATGGCTTAAAACTTTTTCAAGATGATTGGAATACAACTTAAATCATTTTGAGACAGTTCTAGAAGAATGGTGAAAAAATTTATTCAGAAGCTAAGAATAACCACTTACAGAAGTTCTATTATGTCCATGTGAAAAAGACGAGGGAACAATAAAAGGGCTTATTATGTTATTTTAGCTAAGGAGTAAATTTCTTATGAAGCTTGCTTTGACCTGATGCAAAAATGGCTGCTTTCAAAAACTGTCATCCATCACAGGTTCATGTTTTGCTGGAAGTTAAAACAAAATGAAACAAAAAATTTTTTCAAATACTAAATTTATTATAATAAACAAAGAAAATTCATTATTTACATTGAGACTAATGTCCTCATCTTTGTTATTATTTTCACAACATTTTGGCTGTTGTGCCCGCTGGCTTTATTAGGGAATTTCAAACTGAATCTTTTATTTAATCTATGAGAGCCGATTGCTCTCACTGCACTGTCCATGTCTAAGCACCTGAAGAAGGTCAGAGTGCATAACAACCAAAATGTTGTGATAGTAACAACAAACATGAAGACAATAGACTAAATAGAAATAATTACAACTCCTCATCCCAGAAATTCAGGAAGCTGCAGGCTTCTCAGTATTGTTTCTATATTGTTCTTCAGTAATGTTTCTATATTGTTCGTCTCTATTGTTTCTATATAGTTTGTATTGTTTCTGTATTGTTCATCTGTATTGTTGCTGTATTGTTCCTATATTCTTCTGTATTGTTCCTATATTGTTTTCCAGTAATGTTTCTATATTAAGCATTGGTATTGTACCTATATTGTTATTCTGTATTATTCTTATATTGTTCTTATAGTGTTCATCTGTATTGTTTATAAAGTTTTTATATTGTTTGTATTGTTTTTATATTCTTCTTCTGCATTTTTTCTATATTGTTCATCTGTATTGTTCTTATATTCTTTTTCTATATAGTTCATATATTGTTTCTACATTGTTCATCTGTAGTGTACCTATATTGTTCTTCAGTAATGTTTCTATATTGTTTGTACTGTTTCTATAATACAGTGCTAATGAGGTTAAATAAATGTTTTCACGAATAATATTGATCAATAAAACTGATCAATAATATTGATCAATAAAATTGATCAATAATATTGATTAATAAAATTGATCAATAACTTTTACTAAACAGCAATAGTCTGTTGTCAGATTTACCACATTGTCCAAATTATTAACTATGTAATCTTTTAAATATTCAGGTCTTTTTTGTAACCAGCTGAAGTATCTATTGTTGGGGATTTCCACACTAGATTTATCTTCCATATTATTGGTTGGATTTTGTGATGGTGCAGTTTGACTTTTTTTGACTCCCAATGAGGATGTCTTTCCAAATAGTTGAAAAGTAATGTAGCATTTTCAGCTCTAATATAATCTGTAATATTTTCACCACTTGCTTTGCATAGGAATATTAATTCAGTATACAAGGAAATTATTTTCAGTTTTCCTTTTGATAAATAATGCTCTTTCAAAATTTGCAGTCCTTTTCTGCCATGATCAGGGGCTTCTCTCATAAGAGACAGTTACTTCAATCACCGAGAAATTGAATTAATTTGGCAAACAGGTTTGCATTCTTTTCACAGTACTCTTTGTCATTGGGACAACCAAATGGTCACAAGACTGTTTCGTGTAATTTTGTGATTCTCATGTATCCTAAAAACTTTAACTTCTATAGTTAATATTTTGATATGTAACCAGTGAAACAGAATCTATTTCTGGGCACATAACCTGTAGAGTAATTGGTAGAAATGCCCAACAAATAGAATTGATAAAGTTTGCAATAAACAATAACAAGAGAAAGAAAAGAACAGGACAAAAAGAATATTGAGCAAACAATATATACAAAAGTAAGCAAAGTAACAGTAATGAGGCAAAAAGTTCACAAACTAAGAATGATGTTAACACACAAAAGGGGATACAGACAAGTGATCTCAGCATTCTGACTTCAAGACAAGAAAGAACAAAACTAAATCAGATGAGACCAAGAACTGACCTATTTTATTGGCTAGGAAAACAAACCCAGCATGTGATGGTATGGTTTGTCTATAAATTGAGGAGGGAGAAGAATTTTGCAGTCATTCCTTTTCTGATTGGTACCAATAATATCAATTGTGATCCCCTTTTTTAGAAGATAACATTCAATCTTAGTTGCTTACTATAATTTTGACTCTTCAAGAAAAACTAACCATAATTTGGTGAGAATTTGTTTATTTTTTAAATGAACAAAAAAATTTCACTTGTTACAAAACAAAATCTTCAAAAGATGGACTTTAAAAAAAAATTTATCTGCCAAAATTTCAGAAGAACCTTCACTGAAATTTTTCCGTTCAAATGAAGAATTTCCTTTATTTTTTATTATTAGTCCTTTCTTTAATTTTTCTAATTGATAAAACCTCAATTTGCATTAAATATATTAAGATATAATGGAGAATTCAAGCTTTGATTATTTTTAAACATTACTTAAGATACAATTTGTTAGATATGTTTTTAACAATGTGATCCAGCAAGGACTTCTATTTTGCATTTCTATCGAAATTTGCAAGTTTAAAAAGCTTCAATGAAGCTCACATGGTTGAGAAAATCAATGCGAAATCCTATCGTACCATCAAGGAAAAGATGCTCCTGTGGATATTTAATACAGATGTAGTTTCCAGGTTGAAATTCATCCCATGGGAAAAGTGCTTCCTCAATAAAATTAAGATAAAATATTAGATGATAAGGCTTGCCTGTCACATCCTGACAAGAAAGAAAAAAAGAAATTAAATTAAAATCATCACAATTGGCAAAAAAATAATCTTCGCATTTATTGTATCTTTCACATTTTGGTAAACTTGAACCTTCATACACCCCCTAAAAAATGGATGTCAGAAGGACTGTTTTTCCAATTCTAATGGAAATGCAAGAAATAATATAACTTAAAAAAAATGTTGGTCTAATTTGGACCTTCATCACAGCGAAAAAAATGGGGTGTCCAAAGGATGGTTTTTCTATTGACACTGCTATTATTTTAACTATTTTCACCCTTCAGCAATTAGAATTGTAATAAAACTAAAATATATGACATCCACCCTGTCAGTTTGTTCAATGTTCAATCCACATAGCTGACCATTGAATGCATCACTTCAATCCCAGCCTTGCCTTGTCCCACATTGCGTTTGATTTAGATCACAAGGCTGGTGAGGATCAAATTGTCAACAGGAATCATTGAATTGGTTTGGTCCAGACAATGAAGTCACAAGTAAAAAACAAATTGTATAAAAGAAAATGTTTTATACAATGTTTCTTGTACAGAGCTGATAATACAATTATCAGTTCTTCAGGCTTTAATTAGTGATTATCAATCAGTGTCTCCAATCGGGCCTTGTCTTAGTAAAATCAAATCCTGACTTGAATGTTATTACACCACCTCTGCCCATCAGCTAGATTCCTCAAAATAATAAAGCCATTTTACTTCAAGTCAGCCCTATTCCCTTTTTTATGGTTTGCTCACGGAAGAAAACAAACTTTCTGAATTTTAATAAAATCCTGTCTTGTCTCTTGTTATGTTTATCGGACTATCTCTTAACTCTTCCAGCGTCTTACAAATATACAAAAATCAATTTGTATATTTCTAAAAATAATAAACATTATTTATTTATTATATTGTATATTGAATTGGTTGGCAAAACGTCAACTAATTGCCAATTGATTCAAACTTTATAAGATGGTAAATAATAAAAATTTCCTTAAAGCTGGTTCACATATTTTAATAAATGTTTATAAATTTATGAATAAAAAATATTTTTAATGTTTATTTCTTTATAAATTAGTAAATGATAAATATTGCATTAGTTTTAATTGTATTAAATTTTAGAATTTTGTAAATATAAAATTATTCTTGTAAATAAATAATCTAATAGTGTTTAATATTTTTGTTGCAAATTCTCAAGAACAAAGAAAATGTATAAATTCGCTTTCATATGTCTAGGTTTTATTACAATTCTAATCATTGCTTTTTAAAACAATAAACATGGATGAGGAGTGAAGGTAGTTAAAATAGTAGCAGCGTCAAGGGAAAAACTGTCCTTTTGACACTTGGTTTTTTTACTCGCATGAAGGTCCAAGTTAGGCCCGCATTTTTTTAAGTTATAATATTTCTAGCATTTAAGGTTTAAAAAATTTGAGTTCATTTGTCACAAGCTTTTTTTTTTGTTTCTTTACTTTTTAGATAAAATTGAGAAATGAAAGCTAAGTTTTGATGATGCTCAGACATGAATCAGCCAAACAGTTCTAATGCTATTTTTTTGTAATATTGATAGTAACTAGATGTACCTGTGGAAATTCCAGTTTTTATAACTCTGACTTTTAGATTAAATTAACATTAAGTACTATTTACTGACTGTCAAGATTGACATAAGAAATAAATTACTTATGCATACTTCTTTGTAATTTTAATTACTCATGTGAAAATACTTTTGACAGGGAGTTTTTAAACACCAGGTGGAGGAGAAGAGGGTCTGAAAGATAGATTTACTTACACTCTCCACCAGGCATCATAACACTTATCCAAAAATATGTACGACAGCTTACACATCTAAATATCTATTTCCGATATATATTCAATGAAAATACACTCATTTTATATGATACAAGAAAATGTTTTAATAAAATCTTCAGGAACTGCTAATAAAATTTCAATTAGTCATGAAAATGCATGTACATATAAATTATTTTTTCAATATGATAGTTTAGTCAAATTCAGGGGAAACATTTGCTACAACAAGAGTGCATCTTTGTATCCTTTGATACAAAGATAATTATGAAGGTAGATGAACGTATTGTTTTAGAATGCAAGGGCAAACTGATCATTAGATTGTCTATCTTCATCCTAAAATGGAACAAAGGCAATGTAGCACTCACTAGTAAATCAAATTTGAATAAATTTAAATATGAATCTGAGGCGAATGAAGAAAACAGTAACCAGCGAGTAAATTCAAGCTCTCCCAGCTGGTATTTCAAACTTGAGTCGTTCCTTCCTGAGTTCTGTCTCCAAATCACACTAACTGCCCGTTCTAGCCGTCAACCGTGAACGTCCCTCGAAGAACTCCCCGACTTGGAAAAAAGTAGTTGTTTTTATAGTTGTTCATGTACCCATAATCCCTTGCATCTTCCTGTGATCCCATAGTTCATTGCGTCCATGTCCCATAATGCATTGCATCATTATTGCATAAAAATGCGATGCCAGTCCCCCTCATTCTTTTTTACGTTATCTGGCCGAGGATGGATTACGGCAGAGCGGTAAGTGCTTTTTCTCTCCCTCATTTCAACTGCAGTAGCTTTACATGCTAAGCAAATACGGGCTCTTTTTTGGCGGGGACAAAGGCAAAGTCGCGACCAGTTTGTGCTCGTCCCAGGTTCTGTTTCATGTCCGCCACACCCCCCTGATCTCCTGATCACACAGATGACAGTGAGGATAACGGTCTTTTTGTTTCGGGTGCTCCTCCGAAGGGGATTGGTTGAACTTCTTCATCAGAGGAGCTCTCATTAGACACGTCCCGATCTATTGGCAAACTACCACTATCTGAGTGATTGGTTGTTGAATCCAACTCTATGTATATTGGCTGTTCACTATCCTCCGTGTCTTCTTCGTCAGTTGTGGGATTTGAGCCCAAAAAGTGCGCAGGTCTCTAACATGACGAGGCTGCCCATCGACCCGCACTGACTGCTGACTCACCACCTCGGTCACACGTCCGGTTCCAAATTTGGTCGTGCATTTACCACGTGGAGTTTTAACCCAGACAATGTCCCCTTCCTTGTATTCCCCTTGGTTATTTGTGATTCAGGCGGGGGCGTCAGGTCGATGCCTCTCACCCGGACGTGGTATGTGCAGTACATCAGCCGGTGCCATGGAAGGTGAAAGGTTGTCCTTAGGTGTGACGTTATGCCAGTAAACCGCTCCAAGACTGAACAATTTTTCCTGGCCGCTATGGTTTTGACGCTTCTGTGGTTGCGTTCCACAATGCCATTTCAGGCGGCACGTAAGCGCTTCAGAACCTTAAATGCACGCCCCAGCTGTTTACAAATTCCCTAAATTGTCTGCAAGTGAACGTGGTGTCATTGTCAGTCAGTATTTGGTCGTTGGGCCTCGTTCGTAGTCTCTAGCTGACTTAATGACACCAGCAGAGTCTTGCCGTCTCAGTGGCCGCCATACTGCAAAAGCGGAGGGACCACAGTCAATGAGCCGTAAGAAAATGGCTACCATTGCAATGGGTTGCGTCCATTGCTAACCTGCTCCAGTTTTTTCTCACACTTAAATTTCCTTTCTTCCAATGCACTGGTGCTGGATCGATCGATTGGCAGGCTTCACAGGTTCTAACGACAGATTTTACCAGTTCCTTAGACACCGTTGGATCTACAGTCCTAGCAAAGTACATTGTTCTTTTAACACCTGGGTGCCCACTCTGCTGGTGGATGTGGGTCACCTGACATTTGCTCAACTGGCTCGTTGCAGTGACTCAACTCACTTGCACCGGTTCTCCTCCTTTCTTGTGCATCTCCAACCAGCGTTGCGGCGGCACTCTGGTGAGGCTGTCAATGCGGTTCTGACAAGATTTCACCAACATCACAGTCATAGTCAGTGCGCACTCCTCCACCAAAGCTCGCAGTGTCTCTAAGCGCCCGCCTCATCAGCATTTCACCCGCTGCCTTCGTGTTCATGCGGCGTCCTTCCTGTCAGGGGTGTCAGACATCCACCGATGCACATGCTGAATCGGTGACCACATGCATAACTGGTGCCTGCCACTGCAGGGCAAGATTCACGCCCTTGATCACCGCATCAAGCTCAGCAAGATTAATGTGTTTGGCATCATTGGTTGGGACGCAACAAGCAAGCATCTTCCACGACGCCCCATTCACCTCTAGTGCTACTCCCGTAGCCACGGAGCTTGCATCCACCCAAACTGTCATTTCATTGCCGTTCACACACCAGTCTCCGCCGACAGGATCTGATTCCCCGACTCTGGCCACTGTTTCCTCCAGCATACGTCCAAGAGGGGCATCCTTTATCTCGTCGTCCCCATCCTTTGGTTAGTGTACTTGCATAACGCTTTTAATAAATGCAGTTGCCACCCTAAGCCAACCGCACACAGGGAAATGACCCACAAGTTTCCCAGACAAGGAAAAATATCTTTTCAAGGGTCACCTTTTGAGCAATTTCTGAACCTGACCTCCCGCTTCCATCGAAGGGGAGTTGCTTTCTTCCCAGACTTGCAGACCCAGGACCTTAGTTCCGTCTCTCAATCGCACCGGATCTTTACAGACTAGCCCGTAATCTGCAAAGTGCTGTCTCACGCACACTGCAGAAACTAGGCCTTCATTTATGAAGATATCATCGACGTATGCTGACGTGGCACTCTTAATGTCCTGATCCTGGGACGTTATCATGTCGATCACTGACTTCATGACAAGTGGTGCTACATTCAGTCCAAAACCCAAACGCGTAAGGCAAAACCGCTTGCCCTTAATGACCACTGTTTGAAACGGCCATAGCGATTTGTCAATGTGAATCTGTAGGTACGCATTTCTCAAATCCAACAGCGTCGTCAGCTCCTTGTCGCCGCCATTCTCGTAATTTCGGCGCGACACACCTCTCGTCAGCCGTGAATGCGTCTATGAAGCCGTTCAACTCCCGATAGTCAAGTACCGGGTCGGACCTTCTGTTTGTGTTCTTGTAACGACCGCCATTAACGGAATTAATC